GAAGAGTCGGCGCCCTTGAACGATGGTGCGGATGTTGCAGGCACCACGGCTGCTGGGAGAACGGACTGCTGTGTTCCGCAGAAGCAGACCCAGCGCGCTCCCTGGAAGCAGGGGCGGCCAGACTCCATCTGCCCTTGGACGTGTTAGCAGGAGGGCCCTGGCGGCCAACACGCTCGGTAGACGGTCAGCAACGACGACGAGAGAAGACCCCCGACGAGATGGCCTGACAGTGGCTGCAACAGCGGGCTCCGACAGCAAGGCCTGGGCGGGTGACGGAGGGAGCGGTGCCTTTTTCTGCTGCAGATGGGGTCACTGTGCGTGAGGACGTGAAGGGTGACCACGTGACGCTGCGCGAACAGAGACGTGTGTGCAACGGGGCTCTCCCTCCTTAGTCAGCCAATCGCAGGAGTCCCCTCTTTCTGCCAAGCTTCCCCGCCCCCTCTCTCCTGTTGGAACCACACGCTAACTGCCATCGAGTCAATCCCAACTCACGGTGACCCACGTACGTACGACAGCAGAACTGTGAGCCGTGAGGTCCCCAGGGCTGTGAGCTCCGAGAGCAGACGCCCCGCCTCATTGGCCGCGCCTCTGGATGGGCTCCAACTGCAAAACGTCCGCGTTAGTAGTCAGGTGGCTAACCGTGGGCGCCACCCACTCGGTGCGAACCACACATCCGTGGACGGCGGGCGCTGCCTGCTCCCGTTTGACTTCTCTCCTTCTGGACACGGGAGTGGGTTTTTTTCCCCGAGTGTCACAGCGAGAAACCTCCCGGACCTCCTGCAGGTAACCCTCCCGAAAGGGTAGGTCCTTCTGACAAGGCCTCTAGGGCGACAGTCCCTCGAGGCAGTCCGTGCAGACTCCGCGACTCAACTGTGACAGTCCTGCCGGCTGCTGGGCCTGGCAGCGTAGGGGTCTGCTTCTGCTACGCTGTGTGTGTGTGTCGCCCGCGCCAGCGCTCGGGTCGGTGGCTGGCTGTGCCCTCCGTTCCGTGATGGATCTAGAAGACGTGTTGGTTTTTCGTTTCCCAGCTATTTTCTTGTGAGCATGGGAAGGGTGACTTCCAATCTCTTACATGCCACACTGGACACCGCGAGTTTTTACTTGCATTTTGAAAATGAGGAAACAGAAGTTTGCAGAGAGGCACCCTGCAACCTAGTGCTGGTAGCCAGACCAACGTGGTCCCTTTACCCCTGCTCCCCAAAAGCACACAACCCCAGCACAAGACGGACAGAGAGAAGCCCTTCAGAAAGTCCTTTAATAGGAAGGGGTTGGAGGTTCCCCAGCTGCACCCCCAGTCTTCATCTCCCCACCACCTCAGTGGTCCTCTTACTCCATACGCACCATTTCCGAGCCCTAACTCCCGACCAGCCGGCCGTGCGGTCATCAGCCAGACCTCGGGTTCTGCTG